TGATACGCAAAGTTTGAATAATAAGTTCGCGAAACAGATGCTAGGCTTATTGATTCTTAATTATACAGTGTAAAACGGATGAATTATGGAACGGGTGTTTGTCAGCAATATTCAATTAAATAGGAATTTTGTAAGGAGAACAGATTGCTCCAGTTGAACTGGTAAAACCCCGCTATAAGTCTGGACAGTGTATAACAATGTAGTCGGTTTATTAGGAAACATTTGTGAGTTGTACCATAGTCTTATTACATTGACAGAACCCTTTATCTTTCCCGCGACCAAATCAAGTTTTGATAAAAGTCGGTGAATGTTGGGAGTGTTGATAATATCCAGTAACCTCTTGTTGAAAGCTTAGCCCAGACAACCTAACTAGTGTTTGAGTTAGGTAGGCACATGAATGGTAATTGATTTCTTTTATATTGAATGATGGTGGAGAACTATTAATCCTTCACGCTGTCCCATTCATCTTTCATCATCTTAATTGTATTAAAGAAAAACAAAAGATCCGTACATGTGTGCAGCTAGTATTTATACCAAAAAATCAATCCTGTTCTTCCGCATATAAATAACTTCAAACATTTTTCATTCGTTTTATTTCTATGTCAATGCCTTTGACCGTATGTTCTGACAACGCAAATTATATATGCCAGAAGATGCCCTGAATATAGCTTAGAATTTATGGATTGTGGAAACTATGGCTTTAATGTTTCTGTTCATAACGTGACATACTGTACTATGACAGTTACGCAAGACAACGTGTGGGCGAATAGATACAAAGTTAGCAATTATTTTCTCTTGTTGAGTGGGGTTGGATGGCCGAATGGTTAGTGCGTGCGCCCTGAGTTTAATGACCCCTATGCTCAAGCGAATTATTGAAATTGAAGCATAGGTTAGTCCTGAAATGACCTAGTTTGTGTCGAATGGATGTTAAACCCCATTTCTCTCTCTCATAACATGACATACTGTACTATGGCAGTTTCGCAAGACAACGTGTGGGCGAATAGATACAAAATTAGCAATCATATTGTTATTTTCTGTTATTGAGCGGGGGTGGATGGCCAAATGGTTAGTGCGTGCGCCCTGCATCATAAGGTCTGTGTCATTGAATCAAGGGGGTTGGATGGCCGAATGGTTAGCATGTGTGCGCTGTATCATAAGGTCTGTAATTGAGTCAACTGGCGTGGTTTCGATTCCCGATTGTGACAAGGAGTAGTGTCGCCTGTCCATCCTCGTGGGTTTTCTCCGGGTCCTCCAGTTTCCCCCCACTACTAAAGACACCTACGCGCCAGCGAATTATTAAAATAAAATTGAACCATGTGTTAGTCCTGAAATGACCTAGTTTGTGATAGTGGACTTAAACTCCATCTCTCTCTCTCTCTTTCCCCCCTCTCTCTCTCTCCCCCTCTCTCTCTCTCTCTCTCTCTCTTCCCCTTTCTCTCTCTCTCCCCCTCTCTCTCTCCCCCTCTCTTCCCCTCTCTCTCCCTCTCTCTCTCTCCCCCTCTCTCTCTCTCTCTCTCTCTCTCCCCCCTCTCTCTCTCCCTCCTCTCTCTCTCTCTCTTCCCTTATTGATTTTTTTTTAGCCTAAAGGTTATCTAGTAATAATGGGAGCCACAGTGGCTAAGTGGGTAAGACGCTGGCTCGCTAGCCTGGAGGTCGGGTGTTCGATCCCTGCATTAGCGGAGAAAGTTCATCTGGATTTTCCGACGTGGTTTCCCCTTGTCAGTGGTGCAGAACAGAGGGCCTGACAAGGACAGCTGTCTAGTCCTTCGGATGAGACGGAAAACGGAGGTCCTGTGTATACATTGGAATGCACGTAAAAGATCCCTTGGCAGTTGGAATTCGATATAAGAGTAGGCGATAGTGCCGCTGCCCGGACAAAATTTCCCTCATAGCACACTGTATGGCGTATGCCCGTCTTCATTAGCTCAGTATAGGAGCAGCACAGTAGGACATTAAACCCCATTTCATTTCATTTCGTTATCAAGTAATGCTTTGGCAGTTTGTGCCCAAATGAAGGAACTAAAAACAAAGATGCTTGTTTTAGCATATAAAAGTAGACTATCGGAGATTGGATCTAAAAAAAAAAGAAGAATATGTCGTTTGCGATGATGTGCAGGTGTAAAGTTGGTATTAGATTAATCCGACATTATTACACTTCACAATATACACATGAGACTGGAAGATTTTATTGTCGTCTGACTGCGTTATAGTTTCTCACAGCCATTCATTACATCTGAAATGGAAACCAGATAATAACGCCACCTTGGAAGTGTTCCATTAATTCCCACTCTTTTATCAGATATTGTCAACTGTCTACAGTTTCACAGACAACACATACATAAGTTGATTATTTACTGCCATTTTAGTCCATTTCATCTCACAACTCACGGCTGTTTTTTAATACTTGGCTAATTTTTCATCTTTTTAATTCTGTCCTCGAGATAATATCTGTAATAGTTCATAAAGTGGAATAGATAAGTGAAATGAAATGGGTTTTATGGCCCGCTTTTCTGCCCGGATTAAGCTCGTTGAATACGGCGCAAAGTAGCGCTACAGCCTACTCTTATTTCAAACTCTAATTTGTGTGGAGTGGACGTTAAACCCATTTCTCTCTCTCTGGGCCCTTATTCACGAAAACTTAAACTAAGTTACAACCGAAATTTTAAGAAATACTGCAACTTCATTGGATATATGCAAATTGATTTTACTGGTCAGCCAATCGAATTGCAGTATTTCTCCTGGTCTTCAAACTCTAGCTGTCAAGGGTTCTTATACATGCCAGTATATACACTTTTCGTACCTGACAAGGAGTAGGGTCGCCTGTCCAACCTCGTGGGTTTTCTCCGGGTCCTCCAGTTTTCTCCAACTGCTAAAGACCCCTATGTGTAAGTGATTTATTGAAATAAGATTGAACCATGTATTAGTTCCAAAACGACCTAGTTTGTGTGGTGTTGAGTGGACATTAAAATCTCTCTCTCTTTCTCTCTCAAAAAGTGAATACATTAAAACGATAGAGTAAATAAATGTTATCTAGGTGATTCTGTCTGGTCATTAAAAAGAGAGAGAATTGAGGCCTTATGTTTAACGTTTCGAGGATGTACATAACTTTACTCTCTAGTTTAATGTAGGTTATTTGGTCTTGTCTGTGTTAGTTAGTGTGTTAGGTTAGAGCTTCTAGTGTTAAGATTGTGATCAATGATGTGTTGGGGGTTTTAAGCCTCTGTAGATTACATGATCTCAGGAATCATTCTCCACAACCTTTAGTAACATGTCAATTATATCTATTGGTATATCAGTTCTCAGCCTTTCAGCCACAGTGGCTCAGTGAGTAAGATGCTGGCTATCTAACAAGGTCTTCGATTCAATCGGTGGTGTTGTCCCTTTTACAACCTTTAGTAACATGTTAGTTATATCGACTGGTACAGGGGGGTTGGATGGCCGAATGGTTAGCATGTGGCGTGGTTTCGAATCCCCAGTTGTACATGACAAGGAGTAGGGTCGGCTGTCCAACCTCGCAGGTTTTCTCCGGGTCCTCCAGTTTCCTCCCACTGTTATTGAAATAAAATTGAACCATATGTTAGTCTTGAAATGACCTAGTTTGTGTCAAGGGGACATTAAACCCATTTCTCTCTCTCTACTGCTACATCAGTTCTCAGCCTTTCAGCCACACTGGCTATCTAACAAGGTCTTGTGTTTCACTCCTAGCGTTGTTCCTTTACAACCTTTAGTAACATGTCAATTGTATTTGCCATTACTTCAGTTCTCAGAGGGAGCCACGGTGGCTAAGTGGGTAAGACGCTGGCTCGCTAGCCTGGGTCGTGTTTTCGATCCCTGCATTGACTGAGAAAGTTTATCAGGATTTTTCGACATGCTCTCCCCTTGTCAGTTGTGCAGGACGAGGGGCCAGGCGAGGACAGTTGTCTATTCGTTCAGATGGGACGAAAAACCAAGGTCCCGTGTATACATTGGCGTGGACGTAAAAGATCCCTTGGAAGTTGGAATTCGATACAAGAGTAGGTCATAGTGCCGCTGCCCAGGCAAAATTTTCTCTCATAGCACACTGTATGGGCATATGCTGATCTTCATTAGCCCAGTTGGAGTAGGACGTTAAATCCCATTTCATTTGTCGCCTGTCCAACCTCGTGGGTTTTCTCCGGGTTCTCCGGTTTCCTCCCACTGCTACAGACACCTACGCGCAAGCAAATTATTGAAATAAAATTAAACCATATGTTAGTCCCGAAATGACCTAGTTTGTGTCGAGTGGACGTTAAACCCCATTTCTCTCTCTCGCTCTCTCTCTCTCTCTCCCTTTTCATTTGATTTAAACTTCTTTTTATGTTCTGTTTACCATTTCTTTTCATGTTCTGTTTACCATTTCTGCTGCCATTATCGGATACTATTCATTCCAATCTTTTCAATCCAGTTTCACCCATCACCACTTTGTCAATGGAATCTAAAAATTCTGGTCGATTCAATATAAAATGAGAGACTTGTTTTTATTTTAGATCAATGGAACTTGGACTATAAATGCAAAGAGTTGAAACTTAATTTCAATTCGTAGCATTTCTTGAAACAACTCGTAGCATTTCTTAAAGCAACATATCCATGATTTGTTCAAAGGGTGCGATGACCGAATGGTTAGCATATGCGTGTTGTATCATACGGTCTGTCATTGATTAAACTGGCTTGGTTTCACTTCCCCGGCTGTACATGTACGTGACAAGGAGTAGGGTCGCCTGTCAAACCTTGTGGTTTTGACTTTGGGTATTCCGGTTTCCTCCCACTGCTAAAGACCCCTACGCGCAAGCAAATTATTTAAATAAAATTAACCATGTGTTAGTCCCGAAATGACCTAGTTTGTGTCGAGTGGACATTAAACCCTCTCTCTTTCTCCGAACAATCCGCCCACCCGTTCCCTGCGTCTGTAAGTGGTGACTGGCGCCCTGCGAATGGATTTTTCTCTCTCTGATTTGTTCATGTTTTTATTTTTTATTTTCTAGATTTGGTTCGAAGGAAGCAGCTGCTAATGCAATATGTGGTGTTCATGGTACTACGATAATGGATCAACAGGTGAAATGTTCCTGGGGAAAAGAATCCAATGATCCAACACAGAGTGGTTCCGCTACACCACAAATGGTAGATGTAATAAAAGCGTTTCAATTTTTATTTACTTTTCTCCCTTCCTTCTGTTTATTGAAAACACAACAAATTTATATGGAAAAAAATGATTGGTTTGTACACCTATATAGTACAATCATATATGAATTGCATGTTTGTTCCATCTGTGCATAGGCCGAGAAAGTTCACCAGGATTTTCTAGTGTAGTTTTCTTGTCAGTGGTGAAGGATGGAGGGCCTGACAAAGACATTGGTCTAGTCGTTCGGATGGTGCGAAAAACCAAGGTCCTATGTACACATTGGCATGCATGTAAAAGATCCTTTGGCAGTTGGAATTAGATATAAGAGTAGGCCATAGCGCCACTGTCGGTGCAAAATTTCCCTCGTAGCACACTGTATGGCGTATGCCCGTCTTCATTAGCCCAGTTGGAGCAGAACAGTAGGACGTTAAACCCCATTTCATTCAACGCATAAACAAATCCTCTGAATCAAACCTATGGTGATCAAATGTTTAGCATTGCTGCTCCAACTCTGTAGAGTGATAAACAATTGACCAGTTCCATCATGAGTGCCAAATCATTACCTGATTTTAGCAAAAAGTTAACACACCTGTTTCAACAATCTTGGGGGGTTGGATGGCCGAATGGTTAGCTTGGTTGGTTGGATGGCGTTGTATCATTAGGTCTGTCATTGAGTCAACTGGTGTGGTTTCGATCCCCCGGTTGTACGTGACGAGTAGTATAGTCGCCGGTTCAACCTCGTGGGTTTTCTCTGGGTCCTCCGGTTTCCTCCCACTGCTAAAGACCCCAATGCGCTGTCTCTTTTTCAACAAGCTTATCCAGAGTAACATTTGAAGTGCTTAGAGCATGGATTAGGTTCTATAGAAATAACTTTAGTATAATGTTATACCAACTGTTTTCGTGATAAATCACTACTCTATGTATGTGTACAAACCAATTATTGAAATAGATGTCGTTTTTTTTTTTTAATTTGCTGAATCGCTATATGCCATTCAAGTATTAATCCCAGTAGATGACAGGATGTGACTTAATAGATATTGGCAATAAGTCATTTGGTTTTGAAGAGATCTCTATATATGTTGAGAGATCTGTCATTTATCTAGAATTTTTTATTGATTATTTCAATGTCAATTCTTAATTCAAATCGTATTTAACCCATTTTGTCTTATTTGAAATATACATATTTAAATCATGATTCATTTCAACACGCGTGGGGTGGGGGGTGAATGGTTAGCGTGTGCCCGCTGTATCATAAGGTCTGTCATTGAGTCAACTGGTGTGGTTTCGATTTCCCGGATTGTACGTGACAAGGATTAGGGTCGCCTGTCCAACCTCGTGTGTTTTCTCCGGGTCCTCCGGTTTCCTCCCACTGCTAAAGACCCCTACACACAAGAAAATTATTGAGATAAAATTAAACCATATGTTAGTCCCAAAATGACCTAGTTTGTGTCGAGTGGATGTTAAACCCCATTTCTTTCTTTCATTTCAACAAAATCTTCAATTATTTATATTTTTTGGGAATATAAAGAAAAGAATATCTGATTATAATACAGATCTATATTTCGTTTCGTTATTTTATACTTTCGATGGCCTACACTATATGAAGATCTGACCGGTTGTACCGGAAGGTGGCGTCGCGTCGGTCGTCGTACAAGCGGCTTTTGAATCTATTGCGTCAGACATTGATTAATCAATCAGATTTGACCTTTCAAACGGAAAGAAGTCGCTGTAACAACCGAAACGAAACGAAATAGAATCTGTGTTTTAATCAGATAATGGAATAGACAAATATTTTGAATTTTCTTCTTTTTTTTTTTCAGCAACAACAGTCGTTCCAATCTCCTAACTCGGGTGGTGGTTATGGACAGTTTTATAACGTGGGATATTGGGGAAATCCAGCCGCTTATTCTGGCTATGGTAATGTTGCCCAGGGTGGCTATCTACAGTCTGCTGCTGGTGGTGGAAACCAATGGCCTGGATATAATTATCAGGCGTACGTATTAATATATTTCATTCATCCCAGAACGTTTCAACCATATTTTGATTTAATCTAGAAATGGAGGAGCGAGACTTAGCTTCGAACAACGGTGGTTGAAATTATTACACACGTCTTGCCAAACATTCAGACGCTAATATTGTCGCTCGCAATAGAGTAATTTGAATGAATTTTCAAATTATTCATTTTACATTATCTATTTTGGAACTATTATAGCACGAATGGCTAGCTCTTTATCTAAATGGGGATCACGTTGGCTAAGTGGGTAAGATGCTGGCTCGCGCTAGCCTGGAGGTCGGGTGTTCGATCCCTGCATTGGCCGAGAACGTTCATCCAGATTTTCCGGCGTAGTTCCCCCATGTCAGTGATGCAGGACGGGAGGGCCTGACAAGGATAGCTGTCTAGTCGTTCGGATCAGATGAAAAACCAAGGTCCCGTGTACACATTGGCATTCACGTAAAAGATCCCTTGACAGTTGGAATTCGATGTAAGAGTAGGCTGTTATGCCGCTGTCCGGGCAAAATTTCCCTCATAGCACACTGTATGGCGTAGCCTCGTCTTCATTAGCCCAGTTCGGAGCAAAACAGTAGGACGTTAAACCACATTTCATTCTCTATCTAAATCTTATATAATGTATCTTAAATATATTTCATTAATCCCATATTTTTATTACGCTTGTCAGTGTTGATTCAGAGATTCATAATTTTAAAGATACATTAAAGGGGCATTATGTGAGATTAGATAAAGAACTGGGCCCTGTTTCACGAAATTTTAACTAAAGATAAAATCCAAATTTTAGTAGATACTCCAATTTTGATTGGCTAAGCACTAAAATCAGTCTAAAATTATCCAATCAAATTATAATAGTTAAAAACTAGGTAATGTAAAGGGAATATGCTGAAAAATTCAGTCAAATTGTTCCACTCTGAACCAAGATATTAGCCTCAATCATCATTACTAAAGTCGGTATGATAAAAAAAAACATAGTCTTGATTATCCATTTCTGTCAGTGTTGATTATGAGATAGTTAGGCTTCAAATCAGGGGCGGAAAAAAAAAAAAAATTGAAACCACTAGCCCAGGACTAGTGGTCTACTGTCAGACACTAGCCCGGATTTAACAAGGTTCGCACACTCCTTGAAACTCCTTGAAAATCCTGGAAAAATGAAAATGTGATTTCCAATGCTGGAAAATCCTGGAAAAACAGGATCACTCCTTGAAACTCATGGAAAATTAACATTTGTGGTTAAGCTATATATTTTAAGATATAAAACTGAACAGTCATCAAATGTTTCTTCAAAAGTTCACGTTCATCGCTGTAATGGACTCGTCTTCAGAATTTCATTCATAAAAGCCATAGTAAATCTGTAGTATAATTAATAAACTCTGTTGAAATCTAATTTTGATGAGATCCTTTATTTCTTCGAGTCAGTCGAACAAAGTTCTTCAAGCATTAAAAAAAATACATTATGATGTAGAATTCTATATAACTTTAATCTTCAATAATGTGCACTGCAGATTTTCGACAATTTGACCACACTGTATGGCGTATGCCCATCTTCATTAGCCCAGTTCGGAGCAAAACAGTAGGATATTGAACCCCATTTAAAAAAAATATATATATTATGTAATCGTGTTGGTGTAATTTGTTTCTGTTTGTTCCTTTTAGAATGAACATGCAGATGCAACAACAATGGGGCCAACTCCAGATGCAACAAGGTGGTCAACAGCAACAGTTTAATGGACAAGGCCAAGGTGTGGTGGGATATCCTATGCAGCAGGGTGAGACAACCAATTTTCATACTGTGTATTGAAGTCAGTGAGTCTGGCATGTATCTCCTCACGTTAATAACGACACATTGGCTATAGACTGATCTATATAACATTAATAGCATGAATGTCGCAGACAGTACTAGTGTTTTACTCTCATTTGGCACCATTCGTGCGTGGGCCATAAAGATTTCCCCAAATCTTGTGAAGATCCTATTTACGAGGAGATCACGGTTGACGGAGATAAACATAAAAGGGATTACTAATGTCAGTCGATGCGAGACCTATTTTACACAGTACTGTCTGAAATATATCTTTTCATTAATTTTATTTAGATCAGTCCTTAATTAATCACAGAACCTGTATTCTCTTCTTTTAGTACTAACCTTAGTTGTATACTAAAAACCCTGACCAACACAATCTTTGTCTACATATTCACATCCGTGGAAATGTTTCTGAAGCAAGGAACAGGCTTGTTGTCAAGGAGATAACTTTTGTTTAAAGTAACGATGCTCCATTAGCAAAAATCAAATTTCTCATTGCTTAATCCATGCTGATATGTAATCAAATTGATTAATTAACCTTTAATTTAAGAAAACAAAATCAAAATACCAACACTAGATAATGTCCCGGCTTGAATTTGAAATAGGCTTATTAATTCTGTTCACCCACAACAAAATGGTCTGTAGCTTATTACATGGAAATATGGGTACACTGTAATATGTACTCAGATTGATTATTTAATATTTAATTAAGAAAAAAAATCAAAATACCAATGTTAGATAATGTCGCAGCTTGGATTCAATCGGTTTTATAATAGTCCTAACAAAAGGTTAGCATGTGTGCGTTGTATCATAAGGTCCATCATTGAGTCAGATGGCATGGTTTTGATTCCCCGTACGTGACAAGGAGTAGGGTCGCCTGTACAACCTCGTGGGTTTTCTCCAGGTCATCCGGTTTCCTCCCAGTGCTAAAGACCCCTATGCCCATCGAATTATTGAAATAAAATTGAACCATATGTTAGTCCCAAAATGACCTAGTGTGTGTTGAGTGGATGTTAAACCCCATTTCTCTCTGACAACAAAATGGCAGTGGTCTAATGAAATACTGGTGTAGTTTGCAAGTTATTGTTTTTGCCACGGTGGCTAAGTGGGTAAGACACTGGCTCGCTAGCCTGGAGGTCATATGTTCGATCCCTGCATTGGCTGAAAAAGTTCATCAGAATTTCTGTCGTGGTTTCTTCTTGTCAGTAGTGCAGGACGGAGAGCCTGATAAGTACAGCTGTCTAGTCCATCGGATAAGATGAAAAACCAAGGTCCTCATGGCACACTGTATGACGTATGCCAGTCTTCATTAGCCCAGTCGCAGAAGAACAGTAGGACGTTAAACCTCATTCCATTAAAAAGGCGCATTGTAAACTTTAAACATTAGTTTCACAATCTCCTGACACTAAGCTACTTCTGAACTAACAATCACAAATTTCACTAAAATATTCTAAATTTAAGAGTTGGTAGTCACAGATCAGAATACATGTTAGAAATTAGTGCCCCATAGAATAACTTTTCGTATGTGTCTAGATATAGCCATTGTGCCATATTAAAGTGAATGTATTAGGGATTGGTCTTCTGTAATTATGTATATACATTATTACTTATCGACTACTATGTACTATCCACATGTTATTATATAGGATTGTAATGTTTGGTGTGCTGTGACAAGTAGATGCTTATTATTATATTCCATTGCACTGTCTATGTAAATCAAAGGGAAGCAACTCCATTTAATATAGTTGGACACAATTGTGCTTTTGTGTTCTGAACATTATCTGCTAATATATTATAAAATGAATGCTGATTGCTTAGTATCTCACAATGTACATTATCAAATAAAATTTTTTTATAACATTTGATTAAAAATTAATGTCACAGAAGCACCAAAAATAAAAAGTGTGAAAATGTGTCAAATTACGGATAATTAAAGTCCTATTTAAGCCATATCTCACTGATTTATTACACAGTATGGTATCTTTTTTTAAAATTTTAAATTTTATTCTTTTTTTTTTCTTTAATATTATTAGTTTGAGGTACAATATTTTTTTTTAATTCCTGTGAGTGTGATTAAAGTTAATATGTTCTTGATATTTAAGGAATTTTTGAATCATCTCGACAATTCAATTAATAACCTTTTTTCTCTCTTTTATTTTTCATATTTATTGTCTTTCCCGGCGAATGTCAACAGTTAGTAAGACTTGTTACAAAAGAGTGATATGATAAAAAGCTGGAATTTTTGGATTTTTAGTTTATTTTCATTTGTTTACTACATTTTTTAATTGCTTTATTTTTTTTTTATTTTTTTTTCGTTTTCGTTGATTTTTTTTTTTCTTTTATTTGATTTAAAATGTTCTAAAGAATGTGTTTGCTGTTCTCTCGTTTCTTTAAAATTGCTTTAAAATTAGGTGCTAATTGGTTTCAACTTAGAGACTGTTTTGCTTATGTTATGAAATGCAAAATGATTAACATTTCAGAAGTCTATGTTGCTTATATAATGAAATGCAAATTGAATAACATTCGATTAAGTCTGTAACATATAGACAATTTAGAATTGCATAATCTGTGGTGTATTCAATATGCAATGCAAATTCACTGGTTTAGAATTCTTTATCTGAATATTTTCTTAACTACATTTTCTTAATGTCTAGAAATTCCAGCTTTTTAAGATTTAGAGTATAGTATATACAAAAATATCTCTCTGTATACTTATAACCCTCAATATATACTATTCATACATAACAATATTATAATACATATTATATTATATACATCAATAAGCTAGTGTTGTTGGCAATCTGATTAAAATACAGATCTATATTTTGTTTCGTTTTATACTTTCGATGGCCTCTACTACATGAAGATCTGACTGGTTGTAGTGGAAGGTCATGTCAGAGGTCATATATATACAAGCGACTTTTGACCCTGTGATGTCAGAAATTTGATTAATCAATCGGCATTGATGTTTCGAGTGGGTTACCCACAGTTCTGTGCACCTGACGTCTAAAACTTGTCGCTACATTGGCTAACCCCTCACATCATCCACAACGTGGGTTATATAACAACTCTTCCAGATCCAAGTGTAGTAAAGACAAGTAAAAAGAAATTTTGAATTATAAAAAAACGAAACAAAATAGGGTCTGTGTTTTACTCAGATTGTTTTGTTTGAAGTGAAGTTTCAGTTTGTTTCTCTATAAACTAATGGCTTGCTGTGTGTTTAAAATTAATTATAAAAAATATATTCCAGTTAAACAAAAATAACAAAGACCCTTGCGCTCTTTGATTTCATAAGTTACGCTCTTTGATTTCATAATTAATAGAGTGAATATAGAGAGAGAAAACATCTGATTAAACTTGAAATGCAAGCAAAATATATAATTTAAATTAACGGTCCATAATCACTCTGTTCATACAACTCACATTTATTTCTTTACACAGATGTTTGTCATTGTGCTGTCACCTTTCCACGGGCCATGCAATAAATATTTGACATGCTCGGACATCACACATAAATGCCGGCCTTAGGATGTTAGAGCCATGTGAAGCGTAAACCGTACGCGAGCTAAGTTTTTCAACGTGGTATTTAATTGTACAGTGTACTCTTGTCAATTCTGATATCTTACGGGATTGGATACGATATGCCGGATTACACAGCATGTCGGAATACTCAATTGCCTCAATACAGATGTCGTTAGTGACAGAGTCCACTGTAGTAGTTCCAAGTAAAATTCAACTAGAAATTTGATTTTAAGTACAACGGAGCAGAATTACGGATGTTTGATTTTAAAATATCCGCATCGAAAAAGAAAACTGGACTGAAAGGCCCAACCAATAATAAAAATATTTTTTGGGGGCATTTCTGTTAAATTAGAATATCCACATCGAAAAAGAAAAATGGACTGAAAGGCCCAAACAATAATGAAAATATTTTGTTTGGACATTTCTGTTAAATTTTCTGGCATTACACAGTTCACACCCTCCTAAGGCTGTCAATACACACACATGTAGAAGGAATACCACACAATCAATCCTGGTTATCCCCCCCTGACAAGTAGACATCCTTATCCAGCCCGCTTTTCTTCAACTCAAAATATGTTATGATTCGCAATGGTTAATTAATGTGACATTGAAAATCTCCAAATTTATATTTCAACTAAATGAAATTTATTGCAAATCTATTTTAAAATAATGTTTAAATTGAACTTTGGAAACATTGAATAACGTTTTTTCCAGGGGTAGTTACTGAAAGCATATTTCGATTGTCCAAACTAGAATATATTATGGTCAAGTTCAACTTTCTTTTTTCTATTCTTTCTTAAGAATCTATTCAACAATAATGCAAATAATTTATAGCTGAAAGTGAAAGTACACAAAAAAATAGGAATTTCAGAGCTTTTTTAAAAATTTATACAAAATTCTATAACAAAGGTGGACAATTATTAATAAGTTTTACCACAGAATTTTATACTGTTGTGGATAGTTCTCGTAGTGGGCCTTTAATTTCATCAAACCCCATTTCTGGATTTAAAGTAGCTTGATCAAGGCTTGTGTGCATTAAAGATACATTATGTAAGATTCAATAACGAGCTGGCAGTCATTGCTATTATAGTTCAAAATATGTAATGAGAAAATTGCATTCAAATTACTTTATTCTGAGCTGAGTTATCACCGTTCGAAGTTTTGTAGCATGGATTATTATCATAGCAGTGGTGACTAAGTCTCAATTATCCATTTTGCTATTAAATTTTAAAATCTCATAGGTGTTCAAATCCACTTGAATCTCGGTCAGTTGATTGTAGGCTGGTCATGTTAAAGATATATTATGTAAGATTTAGATAAAGAGCTGGCCATTCTTATTTTAATAGTTTGAAAATAAATAGTGTAAAATGAATATATTGAAAATTTCATTCATATTGCTCCATCGGGAATCACGTGGCTAAGTGGGTAAGACGCTAGCTCGCTAGCCTGGAGGTCGGGTGTTCGATCCCTGCATTGGCCGAGAAAGTTCATCCAGATTTTCCGGCGTGGTTCTCCCTTGTCAGTGATGCAGGACGGAGGGGCTGACAAGGAAAGCTGTCTAGTCGTTCGGATGGGACGAAAAACCGAGGTCCCGTGTACACATTGGCGTGCACGTAAAAGATCCCTTGACAGTTGGAATTCGATATAAGAGTAGGCCGTAGTGCCGCTGTCCGGGCAAAATTTCCCTCATAGCACACTGTATGGCGTATGCCCGTCTTCATTAGCCCAGGTTAGGAGCAGAACAGTAGGACGTTAAACTCCATTTCATTTCATTTCATATTGCTCCATTGCGAGCGAAGATATTAGCGTTTGAAGGTTTAACGAGGTGTGTGCTATAATTGAAACTACCGCACTGGTTGTTCGTGACTTAGCCTCGCTTCACCATTTTTAGATTAAATCGAATTATGGCTGTACCGTTCTTATCTACTTAACACTGAGATATCCGATGGAATTGAGAGTTGATTATGGTCTTGTCATGTTAATAAATGTTTAATAGTGTGGTTTCAATTCCCCGGTCGAACGTGACGAGGAGTAGGGTCGCTTGTCCAACCTCTGGGTTTTCTCCGGTTTCCTCCCACTGCTAAAGACCCCTACGCGTAAGCAAATTATTGAAATGAAATTGCACCATATGTTAGTCCCAAAATGACCTAGTTTGTGTTGAGTGGACGTAAAACCCCATTTCTCTCTCTCTAATTAATAGTTTATATAATATTTCAGGCCTAAAGAAAGACCTGCGATAGGCAGATTTAGCTCTTGCATAATGTATGTTTAATAAATGTCTCGATAATGATTTAGATAACATTTGAAGCCAAAATAAAGACCTGCAATAGGAAGATTTAGTTCTTACATAATCTATCTTTTACTGTTTTAATTTTACCCCCCCCCCCCCCCCCAACAAATTACATCGATTTAAAGACGATTTTTGTTTTTCAATCTATGAAATAAATTGCCCACCGTGTTCTAGAAATTGGAGTTAGTATTTGTGTTTAACCTATAGTTCATGTTATCCTGTTGGTTGTGGTCAATATAGCTTTATATTATTATATTTAGCAGGTTCTATTTTATTTCAGAGGATACAAATATTCACAAATAATTTGTTGCCTAGCAATTCAAATTATAGTACCTCTAAGGCCATATCAATTTACAAATATTCAAAAATTGTTTGTTGTTCAAATTAAATTACTTCTAATTCCATACCAATGTACAAATATTCACAAAATTGTTTGCCATTCAAATTAAATTACCTCTTTAACTCCATACCCATTTACAAATATTCACAAAATTGTTTGCCATTCAAATTAAATTACCTCTAATTCCATACCTATTTATAAATATTCACAAATTTTTTGGCCAATTTCAAATTAAATTGCCTTTAAGGCCAGATAAATTTATAAATACTCACAAAATTTTTTGGCCAGTCAATTCAAATTAAATTACACGCACCTCGTAAGGCCACACCTGTGCCAATTTGATTTTTTGTTCTCTGTGAACACCTGTAAAAACTCTACTTCATATTTGTTTCGGAAAAAGACTTAATTAAGACTTGATTAAAAATTAAAAATTGTGCTGTTCAGTAGCTTTTAGTCGAAGCCTTAAAGTTTTGAAATTTTAAACTAAACATTTTTCACATGATTCAAGATGCTATTTATTTGTTAAGACTAGATGAAATGAAAATTAATTTGGGGGGGCCAAAATGTCTAAATCTAGTCCACAGAATTCATACCATATACTCACTATAAGACTTAATAATGTATGGAATTGTTTTAATTTTTTTTCTTACTTTAATCTCAAGGTTTTTTATTACGATTTAAGAAACTTATTTTTTTTTTTTTTTTTTACATTACATTGTTTTTGATTAGGTATTTATAGTAATATCTTTAAATCCCTTGATCCGATTTGTAAAAAACATGTTTAATTTTACTTCATATTAATTCTCCTTTGACTTATGTTCAAAAACCGTATAGTCTTAATTCAATATTTACGTTTATTTCTTTTATCATCTTTATATTTCATATTTTAATATGCAATACCAAATAAACCTTCAGAGAGAGAAAAAAAAAAAATCGTATTTGTAATAAATGTACATGCCGATCTATAATTTTTGTGATTGTTTATTTTTCAGGCTACCAACAAGCCCAGTGACGTTCATCTAGAGTAGGCTCAATCAACCAGAGTGAAACTGACCCCCATATTAACCAATCAGCTGACTGATGTATAGTTTTAAACATATTGATGGGAAGAAGTATTATGGGCAAAGATAAATTCATTCATATTTGGGGGATGGGCTGTCCAGTGTTGTGTGGAATGTTGCACTCATTGTATATAGTCGTTAGGAAAATTAGGTAGAAATTAAAATACATGTTTAGATGTTATTTGTGGCGTTAATGTTTGTATTTGTCCCGTCTAAATTTCATACCTGATACTGGGAGTTGTACAAAAAATGGAAAAAAATTTAAATCATATTTTCATACCATTTAGGCTTATATTTGACCTTATTTTATCATGTTTTTTTTTTTTTTCTTTTCTTATTATTGCGCATTGGTAAATTAAATATTAGATCGACTCAGTTCATTTTATTAAGCAGGAAAATTACGACTTTGTTTATTTTCCTTCAATATTATTATTATGACCGGTGCCAAAGATTTCTTCGTTCGATTTTATCACCAGGTTCGTCTTTGTTGTGTCGTTAGATTTTTTTTTTAAACGCTAGTTTCGGTAAATCAATGAAGTTGGCGTGAAGTACAAAACCTAAATATTAATACTTTAGTTATAAATGAATATCTATGTGTAAATAAATTTTATAGTGAGAGATAATCCGCTCATATTTATTATTATTACTTATTAGCTAGGAAACGAAAAAAAAACAACATTCTATCTTTTTGTGCATAGTAATTATTTGTTCATGAGTCGGCGTTTTGATAACTTTATACGATATAATATTTATTATAACTTTAATAGTACATATAGCTTCATTACTCATGATAGCGTTTTACTTTTTCTTTAATTCAAGTGTATGTAAGATCATTTAGAAGTTTATTTTATTATCCTGAAGCAAAATGAAGGCCCAGAAATTATGTTTTTGACTTTTTACTTTTTGAATCGTTATGTACAAAGTCAAATATGCACTGTATATTTTAAAGACATTTTTTAAAAAATTATAAATCCTTTTTCTTTTTTTTTCGCCATTTAAATCAATTGTGCGCTTAATTGGAATGGTGTTATTTTATTTTCTTTTTTTTCTTTTTCATATTAATTACGTCTTAAATGATTATTATAATATAGATATATTTCGGTTGATTAATTAAGGGACCGTTGCTACATGTATAGTATTTATTTATAGACTTATTATATAAACAAGTTATTTCAAGTTTATAGAATTTATGAATGAAACATACCTCAGGTTCCATTAAAATGAACTACTTGTTGATAATGTATTCCTTGTTATTTATTGAGAATAATTTTAGGGCCTTCATCGAACTGTGTGATATATTAACCCTTCTGTTCCGTGTTTTTTTTTCTTCTTCCTTTATAATGTAATATAATAAACCAGTTAATAAATGCCCAATTCACCATCATAAAATAAATAAATACTTGATGTTTAATGTAAAAATATCGTTACATGAAATATTTCTATTTGTTTTTATTATTATAATTTTTTTTTTTATCTTTTTTTTTCTATTTAGCCTCATTTGTAATAAAATTCATATGTATTCATATTGAAGCCCAGTTATATGGACAACGTACATTTTGTCTGTTCGGGGAAATAACATGTCGTCATTGGTTACCTATATTTTCATATGATGTATAATTTGATGGATTTAAAAAAAACAAACAAAAACTTATTGGATATAGACATCTGTAAATAGTCCCCGTCTCCTGTTATTTGTTAAAAAAAAAAAACTATATATATATGTGATGTTTTTTTCCCTGTTGTAACATGTGTTTGGGTGTGGAACTTCCCTTGGTCCATTATATATATAGATGTCCTTTGTACAATGTACATGTAGTTAAACAAAAACATATAGTACATGACCATATGTATGATTTCGGGGCCGGGTTTACTAAAAGGCATGGTAGGATTAGGGGCCCTATGTTTTTAACTAAAAACATACAAATAATACATGGCATATGTATGGTTTCGGGGTTGGGTTTACTAATAGGCATAGTAGGATTAGGGGGCCCATGGATCCTGTAAAATATATTTATATATTGGGATACTGAAGCATGCCAACATCTCGATCAATTTAGGGGCTGACGTAGGTAAATCCGATCCTGTATGGTTTGATAGGGGCCCCTTTGGTTCCATAAAATATATTGGGATACTGAAGCATGCCAACATCTCGATCAATTTGGGAGCTGACGTAGGTAAATCCGACCCTGTACGATAAGATTAGGGCCCCTTGGGTTCCGTAAAATATATTGGGATACGAAAACATGCCAACATCTCGATCAGTTTAGGGGCCGACGTAGGTAAATCTGACCCGGTATGTATGATAAGATAACAAAACGAGCTACATATGTATTAAATATATTATAAGGAATGTTGATATCGGATGTCCTTAGTGTCTGTTAAATTTATTGCCCTGTTTGTAACCACTTGTTGCAAATAATTTCTTTTTTTTCCGTGTGATGATTCCATAATGTTGAGTGTATGCTGGAGACCATGTTTTTTTGTATAGAACCGTTGTCTGTAGAGTAGTTAGTAGTAACTTTGGTGGGAGGGACAATTTTGTACATATTGTATGCTGGCTGCACCCTTTATAAAGACCTTGTTAATTTTGTGTGACAATTTTCCCCCAACAAAAAAAAAGAAAAATAAACAGGGTCTTTAACTTGGCGCTTTGATGACGAACTGGCTAGATCATCCCATTGATTTATAATTGTCTCATGTGAATAGAATACAGAGGTTTTCGTTTATTAATATTCTCCGTGCGAGTTTGACCAACTAATTATGGGTCTTTATTTATAGAAGGGTTGTTTTAGAGGATCAAAGCGTTCAAAACACAAAAAATCTTCTTAAATCAAAAAAAGCAAAGACCTAATTAATTTCCAGCCAGTTCATCATCAAACCGGTCAATATTTTTATCTGCAAAAGGTGGATTTTATGATAAAATGTAAATTTAGCTGTCAATTGTTACATTTAAATCAAGTACCTGGGCCCTGTTTCACGAAATTTTAACTAAGATAAAATCCAAATTTTAGTAATTTGAATTATTAAATTGATTTTAGTGCTTAACCAATCAAAATTGAAGTATCTACTAAAATTTAAATTTTATATTTAGTTAAGATTTCGTGAAACAGTGCCCTGAACCTATACCATTTAGATTTTACGTTTTCAATTAAAACTTTGTACATATTATAACCATCTAATATGAAGGGTTGATAGTAGATTATTCATTTCATCATGTTATAACTGTCTTCTATAATACAAAAATTAATATAATGTAATCACATCAATTATCTTTACGACCAAGTATGGTAGAAAATAAACTAAGATTAGACTTGTCTCAAGAAAGACAACTCTATTCCATTGGACTGAAGTTTGAACACTGATGATATTCATCAATCATGTGGAGTTCGTTGGGTTTTAATTAAAAAAAATTGATATTAGAGATAAAATCGAATACAGAAGAAAAGAAAATAACCGAAAGTAAATTTATGTTCGGAAATAGTATTTAGAAGTAGATTTCACATAACACGCACAATTTTATGGTTGGGTTATTGCATTGATTGGTTAAATCTTGCCTTCACACATCCAAAATATCTTCGGTTAGGTATCAAATGGAGTTTTGGCGGAATAAACCTTCCATACCATTGAATTGTGTAGGTTATTACCCCAAAAATATATCAATTTTTAAAAGTTTGCTAAGACATTATTTTTCAAGATTTTTCTCTTTTTTCTTCAAACAACTGATCTCAATTTTTAGTTTTATTTCTTCTCTTTGTTCATCGCCGACCTTCAATGGAATAATTTAAATTATTTTCAACTGTGTACATATTTATATATAATAACATGTATATCACCATACAAAAATCTGAATGATGTGATAATTTTAGCAATTTTTTTTTGACCCTCCTCCCTTGATCATGATTTGCCCCCCTCCTCCTCTTTCTTTCCTTCCAATGATGTTTAATTAAATCAGTGCTAATTGAACATTCGTCAGTCATTCCAGTGAAGGTTATACATGAAGGAGAGGCCTCATTACTTTTAGTTTTAAAGTTTTGATTTTAAGTATTATTAAAAGGCTATCATCTGTTTTTATTATTAATATTATTAAATGTATAATGAAGAACAATTAGATCACTATTCGAGGCTCAAAGTAAGATTTTTGTACCGATTTTACTAAGAAAAATAAAGACAGTTATATTATTAAGTACGGTCTATGAATATTGATGAGCCCTGTTTATGAATATTGATGAGTCCTGTTTATGAATATTGATGAGTCCTGTTTGACAGATGATAGACTGATTATCTTTGAGTAAAGAAATAAAGATTGATCACCACCATAAATACCTTTAATTGTTTTTTTGTTCAGGGTGGGTGGAGGGGGGTTGGATGGCCGAATGGTTAGCCATGTGTGTGTTGTACCACAAGGTCTGTCGTTGAGTCAACTGACGGGGTTTCGGTTCCTTGCTTGTACGTGACAAGGAAAAGGGTCGTCTGTCCGACCTCATGGGTTTTATCCGGGTTTTTGTTGAGTGGACGTTAATCCCCATTTCTCTCTTGTTTTTGGCCCACGTCTTTCGAAGAAAACAGGGGGGGGGTTGCATGGCCGAATAATTAGCAAGTGCGCCCTGTTGATAGGGTCTGTCTTTAAGTCAACTGGTGTGGTTTCAATTCCACGTGACAAGTAGTAGGGTCGACTGTCCAACATCGTGGGTTTTCTTCTGTTTCCTCCCACTGCTAAAGACCCCAACGTACAAGTGGATTATTGAAATAAAATTGAACCATGTTAGTCCGGAAATGACCTAGTTTGTGTTGAGTGGACGTTCAACCCCATTTCACTCTCTCTAGCTTTTTGCCCCTGTCTATCAAAGGCACAATTCTCACAAACCTACATATTACAGATTCGCCGGTTCGCCAGAAAAGCGACGTAGTCCACCAATACCCCTTATCAGGGTTAGGGTTGGGGTTCGGATTAGCTTTTTTGATACTCATATTTATAGTATTTCTTATGGCTCAGTGCAATCTGATTCAAATACAGATCTATATTTCGTTTCGTTTTATCCCCGGTTGTACGTGACAAGGAGCAGGGTCGCCTGTCCTACCTCGTGGGTTTTCTCCGGGTCCTTCGGTTTCCTCCCACTGCTAAAGACCCCTACGCGCAAGCGAATTATGTAAATAAAATTAAACCATATGTTAGTCCCGAAATGACCTAGTTTGTGTCGAGTGGACGTTAAACCCCATTTCTCTCTCTCTCTCGTTTCGTTTTTTTATACTTTCGATGGCCTACACTACATGAAGATCTGACAAGTTATAGCCATAGGTCACGTCAGAGTTCAAAAGACCGACTTATGACCCTATTATGTCAGACATTTGATTAACCAATCAGCATTGATGTTACTAGTGGATTACCCACAGTTCCGTGCAAAACACGCCTAAAGCTCGCCGTAACAGACCGTTTCATTGGCTTATCCCTGACACCATTCAGAACACGAGTTAAATAACAACTCTTCCAGATCCTAGTGTAGTAAAGACAAGTAAAACAAAATTTTAAACTATAAAAACGAAACGAAATAGGATCTGTGTTTTAACCAGATTGGGCTCAGTGAGTAAGATGTTGACTTGCTAACCACGTCTTGGGTGTCAGTTGGCAGAGAAAGTTCCTCAGGATTTTCCTGTGTGTTTGCCCCTTGAAATGAAATGGGGTTTAACGTCCTACTGTTCTGCTCCTATTCTGGGCTAATGAAGACGGGCATACGCCATACAGTGTACTATGAGGGAAATTTTGCCCGGGCAGCGGCACTATCGCCTACTCTTATATTGAATTCCAACTGTCAGGGGATCTTTTACGTGCATTCCAATACATACACAGGACCTCGGTTTTTCGTCTCATCCGAAGGACTAAACAGCTGTCCTTGTCAGGCCCTCCTGCACCGCTGACAAGGGGAAACCACATCGGAAACTGCGAGGCTGGCAAGGACTGTCTAATCGTTTGGATGGGATGGAAAACGGGTCCTGTATGCACATTGGCCTGCACGTAAACGAACCATTGACATTTGGAATTCGAAATAAGAGTAGGCTGTAGCGCTGTTGTCGGGGCAAATTTTTCATCATTGCACAGCACATAGTTGACGCCCTTGACTTCATAAGCCCAGTCAGTGCAGAAAAGTAGGATACTAAACATCGGTGTGTTATGCAGGCCGGGGGGCTTGGATGACTGAATGGTTAGCGTGTGCACGCTGCATCATAAAGTCTGTCATTGAGTCAACTGGCGTGGTTTCGAATCCCTGGTTGCACGTGACAAGGAGTATAGGGTCGCCTGTCCAACCACATGGGTCTTCTCCGGGTCCTCCGGTTTCCTCCCACTGCTAAAGACCCCTACGCGCAAGCGAATTATTGAAATATAATTAAAACCATATGTTAGTCCCGAAATGACCTAGTTTGTGTAGAGTGGATGTTAAACCCCATCTCTCTCTCTCTCTCTCTCTCTCTCTCTCGTTATGCAGGCCCGTAACTAAGGGGGGGGGGGTGCAAAGCCCCACCTGCAAATAGTTCCCCCCTGTGAAAAGATTGTCGACCATGAAAAAATAGATATACATTGTCCGTCAATTTTACAGCACCCCTGAGAACCCCCCCCCCCCTCCCCTCCTCTCCCCTTCCCTCCCCAGTTGCTCTGAGCTAGTTACGGCACTGGTGTTATGAGGGAAATTCTGTCCAGACAGTGGTGGTGTTAAGGTCTAATCTTCTATCAAATACCAACTCATTGTCACGTACAAGCCTGAGTTTGGACAATCTGGTTAAAACACAGATCCAATTTCGTTTCGTTTTTATACTTCAAAATTTCGACTTTACTTGTCTTAGTGTAGGCCATCGAAAGTATAAAAAACGAAACGAAATATAGATCTATATTTTAATTAGATTGGAGATTGGAAAGATGAACTGACTGACAGGTGGATATACATTGGTAGAGACAACAACAGTTATTTAAAAAAAAAATATATTTTAATGATTTATACATATATATATATTTAAAAATAAAACAATTTATCTGTGTATATAATATATCTGTCTAAAAGTATATTCTAATTTTCTATTTACATAATTATAAAAATAAAATCTATTTTCCCATATTAAGACACCCAGGGCAGGATTAAGACCAATAGAGGCCGTAAGTACTTGACAGATTTTGGTGCTCCCATATATATGGAGAGAGAGAGAGAGAAAAGAGAGAGAGAGAGAGAGAGAGAGCAGGATTAAGACAGAGGCCGTAAGTACTTAACCGATTTTGGTGCTCCCATATAATATATGGAGATAGAGAGTGGGGGGGGGCAGGATTAAGAAGACAGATAGAGGCCGTAAGCGCTTAACCGATTTTGGTGCTCCCATATATTATATATAGGTAGAGAGAGAGAGAGGTGGGGTTTAAGTCCACTGGACACAAACTAGGTCATTTCGGAACTAACACATATAGACATGTATGTTATTCCAAATATAATAAACCATAATATGAATATGTAATTTTCACAATGCAGTTTTATACACGTCATAATTGAGACAAAGCAGAAAAATAAGGAGAAAAGCTCATTAAAATTCATTTTTAAATAACATACTTTAAATTTGTCTCTTAACAAAAAACATTCCCTAAGCACGTGCTAATTTTGCTTAATGGTCAATCCATCCCTGGGGTCACCGGTGTATATCGCCACCGATTCTGTTAGCTTTCACTGGTAGGTTGTTGATTAACAACCGGATAGTAAAATGGACTCGGAAACCAGTGTTCTGTGGTTATTAAACTAGAAGAGCTGTTCCATTTTGTACCGGAACTGGTGCTGTTGGGTTTGTACCCACCGTAGCTGCTGCAGCTGCTGTACCATTACCTTCAGTCAAAGCCACAAACCCAGCTGTAAATATATATATATATATTTATAGTCTACATAAGCAATAGAGAGAACAAAATGGGGCTTAACATCCACTTGACACAAACTAGGTCATTTCGGGAATAACATATGGTTTAATTTTTTTTCTTCAGCTGTGTGAGCTTACCGAAGAAAACCCCACTCTGACCTGGGCTAATGAAGACGAGCATACGCTATATAGTCTGCTATGAGGGAAATTTTGCACAGATAGTGGCACTACAGCCTACTCTTATATCGAATTTTAATTGTCAATGGATCTTTTACGTGCACGCCAATGTGTACATGGTACCACGGTTTTTCGTCCCATCCGAACGACTAGACAGGCTGTCCTTGTCACCCTCCCCCCCCCCCCCCGTCCTGCCGAGCAAAGACATGAAATAATTAGGGTGAAGTCAAGAAATCGGTTCATTATTGACTTCGTATTGATAACTCATGGTGAAACGACGCTGCAAAAGAATTAGGTTTTTTCTCTTTCCCCCTGTGCCTCGCCAAGAATTTCGGCTTGTGGATTTGCTCCATATTCTAACAATAATAATTATGTTAATATAGGGGGCGAAGGCATTATGGGAGATTAGATAAAGTCACTATAATAGTTTAAACCTAAATAATGTAGAGGGAATTTGCTGAAAATTTCAGTGAATTTGATCCACTCTGAACCGAGAATTAAGCGATTGAATTTTAGGGCTAGCCTCGGTCACCATTACTTAAGTCGGTACGATAAAAACATAGTCTGGATTATCCATTTTTGGGGCAGCAGATCGGATTCAAATCCAGTAAATATCGCAGGCTAGCGATGCCATCGAGAGTTGAATATTTCAGGCCCAAAGAAAGACCTGCAATAGGCAGATTTAGCTCTTGCATAATGTGTGTTTAAGATATTAGCAATAAAACAAGTTGTGCATTGTCAAATTATACCAGCAACCTCAACTTTGGCTATTATTTTAGATCAGAACATTTTATCCATTTGTAGTCACTAAATGCAAAATGTAATATATGTAAAATTTATTTGATTATGTAGTTCTGTACTTACCTCCTAAAGTATCAAAGCCAAGGCCTCCTATGCCAACCTGTCCTACTCCAACAGTATTTACGGGGCCATAATCCATCCATCCATTATTCATACCAGCATTATTTAGTCCGTCAAAATTCGTACCAACATTATTTAGTCCGCCATTATTCATACCAGCATTATTTAATACGTCATAATTCACTGCAGCATTATTCATACCAGCATTATTTATTACGTCATAATTTACTGCAGCATTATTTAGTCCGCCATTAACCATACCAGCATTATTTGATACGTCATAGTTCATACCAGCATTATTTAGTCCGCCATTATTCGTACCAGCATTATTTAATACGTCATAATTCACTGCAGCATCTAGACCGCCATTATTCATACCAGCATTATTTAGTACGTCATAATTC